AGTGTCACTGGCCCTCATATGTGGGATCCGAACCGGGGCCCTCTGGCATCCCAAGCGAGTTCTTAACCATCGCGCCACTCGGCCGGCCCGAGTTTGGGGTTTTTAAAATATAAACAAGTGGTACTTATTACCTATTTTGATATTCGTATATACATAGAGTCTAAGACATGTTTTTATTTTATTCCTAAAGAGGATTCTTTAATGTTTTCATGTGCTTGTTAACTTCATAATGTAAAATAATGGAACAAAAGGGAGAACAATGCATTTCCTTTTATCTGGTGTGTAAAATGCATAGAATAAAGTCATTATGTACTGTTTATGCCAATTCTATTCTAGAAGAGTTTGGTTTGTTTTTTTTTCCCTATAGAGTTAGTTAAAATATGCTGTAAGATATGTTTCAATAAGCTTCTGAATGTTTTTGAGAGTTTCTTATCTATTGTATTGGTTCACTAAAATGGAAGCTCTGTGAGAGTGTGAATTTCTGTTCACTTTCTCACGTTGGCCTCTAGCACCCAGCACGGTGCCTGCCTGGAACATCGGAAGCTCTTCAGTCAGCATTCTGTGAATGAACCGAGTCCCCCCCTCCTAAGTGACACTGCAGAAACAGTCTCACTTCCCAGAAATCCTCTCTGGGAAGCAACTGAAGGCAGGAGCCGAATTCAATGCTCAGAATCCCTTTGAAACTTGTTCTTAGGGGATGTTCATAATGCGCTGTTCCCCCTTAGTGTTTAGAATATTAAAGAAAACTTTCTGTTACATCTCAGTTAAAAAAAAAAAAAAGCTGGCACACAAGTTGTGGGACAGTGTGAGCAGTAGTTTAGGAGTGCCAGGGTTGGCCAGTAGAGTTCAGGACACCCGATAAATCTGAATTTCAGGCAAAACCCCAATTTTCTAGTGTATGTCCCAAAGATTGCCTGTGACTGGGTGTCATGTGTTTTGTTTGACTACCCTAAGTCGTATTCTAACGTTTGTGCAAAAAAGAGAGAGTGCAGAATGTATGTGTCCAGTTGTGTAACTATATGTGTGTAAATAGATGGTGAAAAATTTGCTTCTTGGGGAAGAGAGCCAGACCAGAGGCGTGGAAGGAAAGGGTCCTTTTCACTGTTTACTTTTTGTGCCTTTTAAATTTTGAGCCATGTAAATATATTACATCTTTTTTAAGACCAAATTATAAAATTAAAATTAAAAACATTCTGGTAGAAGTACTATTGTATGTGGTAGTGTTCCTTAGAGAGATTTAGCTCTACTTTTAAGGTGCCCCAGACTTGCAGTAGTTCTCTAACGGGAAGAACGGGGCTCAGGCTCTTTGGGCAGAAATGGACTGTTCATAAAATACCTGTTGAGGAAGGGGAGAAAATGGAAGATTTGTGTTTTCGGGCACAATTTTATATGTTTGTTAATGCCTGTGAGATGATCATTGTACTTTTGGTAAGGAGATGGTTCTGGACTGTTACCAGAGGAAAGATACCAGCTATCTGAACATGACCTGCCTCCATCTCCCCCGAACTCAAACCAAACACCGTTTTATCTGCTGAATCCCGTGGCCACCGTTGAGTTTGTTCAGTCTGTCCTAGGCCTTGTGTTATTGCTGTGACTCAGTGAGAGAAGAGGGACTGGGGAGACGCCCGTGTCTAGCCCGTCGGCTGACCGCGGGGCAGCGAGGAAGGGGACCCGGGAAAGAAGGCCGTGCTTCTCCCCTTCTCTTCATACAGCTCAGCCTGTTGCTGTAAATGATGACGCAGAAAAGCAGAGCCCACAGGGTACCTTTCAGAAGCATTCAGAGGAGTGTCAGTGTGACTTATTCTTTTATTCCTAAACACACATTTTTCACGTTCTTGTTTTTAATTTTGGACTGAACTAATTATTCTTGATCACTTATTTACTTCTTTTGCTTTCTTTATAATTCATTTGGGTACTTTTCTGTGAGACCACCTTGTATTATTCTATTTCCTTTTTTTTTTTAAGATTTTTATTGGGGAATTAGGGGGATGGGAACAGTGCTGGGGAATTGGGGGAAGGGGAACAGTCAAGTTGCTGTTGTTTTGTTCTTCAATCTTGTTGTGGAGGACGTTGCTTCACTGGCCCAAGTTGGCACCATCATTGCGCTCTTCTCGGGCGAGGCAGATCAGTCGCCGGCTTCTGGACGGCTGCTCACGGCGGCTGCTGGCCGCTCACGCTGGCTGCTGGCTACACATGGTAGCCCATGGCAACCCACTGCAGCAGGGGCTGCAGCCCACACCATCACCAGCGACTCACGGCAGCCCAGCTCCAGGTCGAGCTGTTGTTCAGCATCTTAGCTGTAGAGGGCAGTGTCACTGGCCCTCATATGTGGGATCCGAACCGGGACCCTCTGGCGTCCCAAGCCAGCTCTTAACCATCGCACCACTCGGCCGGCCCTATTCTATTTTCTTCATTTTTAGTTAATACTCACTGTTAATACATTAAGTCTTTATTGAATGCATACCATGGACCAGAGCCTTTGCTGATTGCCAGGAGAAAGAAGTTTTTTCCCCCAAACCTAGCCTCCAAGGAGCTCAGAGATGGGGAGGTGAGCAGATAGAAGACTGGGTGGGATAGTGGTCCTTGGTGCCGTGGGGGATGAGAGGGACACACAGTCCTGCTTGACCCGGAGTGTCACGAGGACTGCCGTGGTGTTTGCAGCAGGCCACTGAGTAGACGTGCCGAGGGCGTGGGCTTAGCAGGTCTGGCAGGGAGCAGCCCCAGACATTCCGATGCCTCAGTTTGGATCAGGACTTGGAGTCAGAGTTGAAAATAAAATTGTTTCAAAACTGTTTGTTACCACCATATATGATGAGGATATTCCAGCACACTGAGAAGCGACACAGACGATGAAGCGGTTTTTTTGCGCATGTTAGACATCGGTGTCTCAAATACTACGGTACTTCAGATCAGCATCCCTTCACCCAGATTTCGGATATATTTCAGAAACAGAAAAATTTATTAGTGTTATTTTGTATATTCTAGCAGAATTGCATACTCCTGGTGTCTTGTCTGAGAGTTCAGGCCACACCACAGCTAAGAGATGTTAGCAGTCCAAAGCCTTGTACACTCCAGATGTTTAACTCCTGGAGTGCTCATAGCTTACATGTCCCTGATCCAGCAACTAGAGATTTTAGCTCACAGCCTGATCATGGTTTTGAAGGTTACTAAGGCATTAGTGCAGACGTCAGAGAGACTGTACTTGGCCTTCTAAGGAGACTTGTGTAGCATATGCGCTAACGAGGCTGACTGCCATGGCTCAGATTGAGGCATGATGCATTGATTTCCTCGTGTGTTAACAACTCTGAAATCAGAGTAAAGCTTCGACTGGCATCGTCCTGTTTAAAGGGAGCATGACGGGTGAGAAGTGAATAAACATATCTGGGTATAAAAGAGACAGGCGTCTCGGCAATGTTTCTTCCTCTTCTTCTTCCTCCTCCCCCCAAGCCATCTCCATCATAGAGATTCTCGCACAGGGAAATTTCAAATTTCCCCGGTTCACTGAGGTATAAAATGACACAAAAACAGTGAGTAGGTCCTCATGGAGCTTGTGTCAGTAAAGGATATCTCATTGCGGAGGGACGTTATCTTATCCCAAAGGATTTTGGTCTAGCAGGTGTGGGTGAGCTGTGAGGCTGTACATTCTAGAACCTCCATGAGTGAGTCAGCTGTGTGCCCTGCAGATGGTAGGCTTGCCATAGGGAGGGGCTGCTCTAAAGGGAAGGTCCCTGTGTCTTTGGTGATCTTCATTTGCCTACAGAATTGTTCCTTAGAATCTAACAAAAATCCAGGGCTGTGTAGTAGAGAAAACTTCTTTTTATGTGATTAGAAAATGTTAGTATGAATGACAGTAGTAGCACCTTAAATTACATTGAACAGAAGCTGACGTGTTTATGTCTTAATTGGAATTTTCTGTATCCAGTTAGTTAGATTGCATGATATAAATTTGGTGAGAACTGTGTTGTCACTTCTAAGATAAGCTTTTGTGTGCTTGCTTTGTTTCAAATAACATGACAAGAACATGAGCCTTTTTGCCCACGAAGCTGTTCCTTCTCTTCTCGCAGATGGTTCTGACTCCAGAGATAAGCCGAAGCTGTACCGCCTCCAGTTAAGTGTGACTGAGGTTGGGACAGAGAAGTTTGATGACAGCTCTATCCAGGTACACATCGTGCTGCAGCTCTGCGCTCCTTTAGTGATTCTTACACTTCAGTAGGTGGTGGCATGTGGTGGTGGATGGATGGATGGATGGATAAAAATTAAAGACCGTATATTGTAATGTAAAAATCCTGTTCCCTCTGGGTCACTTTTCTTTGCTTTAGTGTGAAAAGAGCAGTGAGTCTATGTCCACGCCCAACTGCTAGAAGCTTGGAGTGGTCATGACATTCCTTTGGACTGTTTACTTTTCTCCAGAGGATGGTGATAATTTTATAGGTGTCTCAGGATTCAGGGAGATTAACTCGCTGAAAACGCCTGTCACTGGGTCTGACATATACAGTAATAGGCATCCAGTCAATTACAATTAAAATGTTAGCCGAGTTCCCTTCTCAGTACTTAAATAAAACAGCCTAGCACGTTCTGTGAATGAGGAAGGTCAGAGGGCGTCACTCCATCGGAGCCGAACTCCGGCAGGTCCTCCCTCCTCTGTCTTCTTGTTTCTCAGTTATGAGATGATGGGTCAGATTGCTAATGTCATGTTCGGGTCTAACATCCTTTCCTTCATAGCACAGCAGTAGAACAGCTAAATAGAAATTTGGTAATCATAATGGTCTATATCAATTTATCCATTAAATTATCCATTTAAGATGACCATATGCTTTTTAATGCAAAGTTACAATATGCCATAAATCAAGTTATTAGATGCTAAAAATAAAATGTTCAATTATTTTGACAATGTTTATTATTTTTATACTATTGGTGGAAAATCCACTAAAAACACCAAAAATCCAGACTTCATTAGATTACATTTATCATAAAAGGGGAACTCACAATTTTAAATTTGTTTTTAAATACTATGTACTTTATGATGGCAGTTCCTTTGATTTTCTTTTATTTTTAGTTGTTTGGTTCGGGAATACAGCCCCATCACTGTGACCTCACGAACATGGATGGAGTCGTCACTGTCACACCAAGAAGCATGGATGCCGAGACTTACGTGGAAGGGCTGCGCATCTCAGAGACAACCATGCTGCAAAGCGGGATGAAAGTGCAGTTTGGGGCATCACATGTGTTTAAGTTTGTGGACCCCAGCCAGGACCATGTTCTGGCCAAAAGACCCCTGGATGGAGGCCTGACCATTAAAGGGCCCCGACATAAACCTGGGTAATTAATTACTACAGCAACTCTCAGAATTATAGAATGTTTGTTCATTATTCTTAAAGGATTCTGAATCAAACATAGATGACGTGCTTTCTCATTTTTATTTTGTTTTAATTTTTAAAAATTCCAAGTGGGGTTTGTGGTCCTGTTTCTTGTTGATTTGGTTGGTTTTAGAGGGGAGAAAGAAAGGTCTTGACTTCCTTAATACTGGGAGTTGTGGCTGGTTTTTAAATAATTTTAAAATTTTGTTTTTATTCAGTACTTTAAAGCAATGTTTGTTCCTTTGTGAAGAATTATGGTGTTCCACATAATGATGCTACGTAACTGAGGTTTTTGTGGAGGTGGGGTGTTTTGTTACTGCTAAGGGAGCACGCGAAGGTCTGTAAGGAATTCAGAGTATTCTAGCTCCACCTAGTGCCCTTCTGAGGACTTGCAACGAGGAGGGCCTGTGCTGGAAAACAAACCTTACTGTCCTTTTTGGTCATAATAGTTTTAAGAAAGAATACACTGTTCAGCCACTTGGTTGTCCACTTCGCAGGTTGAAAAACCTGTTTAAAGGAACCAAAACCGCTGAATTAGATGCTCTGCCCGAGAGCTCAAACACAGGTGGCATGTGGGTGGTCTCTGGGTCGCCCTCCCACTGGTTTGTCGTGTGACCTACCTTGTCTTACCCGTCCAGAGCTTATGCTTTGGGCCAGGAGTGAAGTTTCAGTGTCGTCCTGTTGGTCTTGTGACAGTTTATCGGCATTATAAATTCTTTTGGGCTGTCGGAAAAGTCATGACACATTTTTGCAAAAAACAGAAAAAATACGTCATGACTTTTCCGACAACCCAATACTTTGTTCCTGGGGGGTTATCAGTGAACCCTGATTCTTCCTGTTCTTTGTCCATTTTGAGTCCTGGGAAGGATAACAGGCAGCTAATACCTTAAGACTTAAATGTCTTTCTCCAAGAAGAACACTTGTGAGTCGTCGTGCATATTCGCGCAGGCAGACTGGACACTGGACATTCCGTGGGCTTTTCAGATCTGCTCCCAGCCTCTGTCCTTGAGCCCTCAGTCTCAGCAAGTGACTGTCCCTCTCAGCTTCCAAAGAGAACCAGCACGTGCCTTTACTGCCTGCTTCTCCAGAACATCCATGTCTGTCTGACGCGTGTTCCTGCTTCAAACGGAATGTGTATCTGAACTCATCCTTCCCATGCGTGTCTGGGGGCAGCCATGTTTTTATGCTCCTTTCTCAAGGGTCTGTGTATTTATCACCCATTCCCCCTGCCTGTCCCTCAGCATGACCTTTCCACGGGCTCTTCACTGCAGCAGGTAGTCATACTGCTGCTGCTTTTCACGCAGACGCCTTAACAGGTAAGGCACGCCTGCCTTGTAGCCTTACTTTGCACATGTTGATAGGCTGTCTCACCAAAGAAATTATCAAATGAAACGGTTTCTTCTGCAGTGTTGCATCTTGTCTTTCCACAGTATCTACTGTTATTGCCTCTTATTTGCAATTGTGCTTTATTTCTGAGCTTATATCATGTTTATTTTGATGGTGTTAGTAATGTTACTGTCCGCATCTATTTCTGTGCATAAGCACAAGTCTGTGAACGACGTCTGTTAGAGTCCTTTAGATTTGCTCTCTGGTGATATGAGAAACCAGGCCCAGTGGTCATTCTGCCATCATGTCTTCTGCTCTGGAGGCTTCTAATCATATCTCTGGCCAACGTTGGGGGTCATCGCAGAGTGACCTAGGTATCATGGGGGAATGCGCTCTGAAATTTTATTTTTGTTTTTAGGTCTTTTTCTTGTAAAACTAGTGAAAAATGCTTAGTGGGTGACAATGCTAGTACTTACATGCACATCCATAAATTAGAAAAGACTTTTTTTAGTAAATGTTAATTTCGTTCTAATGACAACCTATTACACAAATTTCTAGGTAGATAAACCCAGGTATTTTCTTCATACATGTGTATATATATATATTTTTTTAATTGGCACATAACATATTAGTTTTAGGTGTACAACGTAATGATTCATTATTTGTATATATTGTGAAATGATCATCACAATGAGTCTAGTTAACATCTGTCACCATACCTAGTTACATATTTTTTCATTTCTTTTTTAAGATTTTATTGGGGAATTGGGGAAGGGGACCAGCCACGTTGTTGTTCTTCAGTCTTCGTTGTGGAGGGTGCCAGTCGCCATCTGGCTTCCCATCAGCAGTTCGTGGCCTCTAAGCTCAAGGTGCTGTGTTCAATCTTAGTTGCAGGTGGACGTAGCTACCATCCCATGTGGGAGTCGAACCAGCCGCCTTGTTGTTAAGAGCGCACACTCGAGCCACTGAGCCATCCGGGTGGCAGCTCACCTCAAGAGTTCAGTCTTAGTTGTGGGCAGGCGTGTCCCACCATTGAACAGGCAGTCATGTTGTTAGGAGCACGTGCTCTCACCCGCTGAGCCATCCTGCCACCTGTTGGCAGCTCAGCAACAGCTCAGCTCGGGCTGAGCATCACTGGCCCATGTGGGAATCGAACCGGCAGCCCTGTTGCTCAGAGCTCACGCTCTTAAGCCAACTCTTAACCAACTGAGCCACTCGGCTGGCCCTGTTTTTTCATTTCTTATGAGAATTTTTAAGATCTACTCTCTTAGCAGCTTTCCGATATGCAGTACAGTGTTATTAACTCTGGTCGCCATGCTGTGCATGACATCCCTGTAACTTATTTTATACCTGGGAGTTGGCCTTTGGACCCATTTTGCCAGCCCTCACTTCCTGCCTCTTGCAACTACCAGTCTTCTCTGTGTCTGTGAGCTTGGGGTTTTTGTTTTTGTTTTGTTGATTTATTTATTTTTTAGATCCCACATATAAGTGAGAGCATATGGTATTTGTTCTGTGTCTGACTTGCTTCACTTAGCAATGCGCCCTCTTGGTCTGTCCATGTTGTCACAAATGGCAGGATTTCCTTATTTTTTTAAATGGCTGAATATTCCGTTGTGTATCTGTATATGCCAGGGGTGCCAAAAAAATGTGTACACGTAAATCGTATTCAACTTTTGTTATTGGTATATATTATTACCATTTTAATACAGTTTTTTTCTTTCTTAAAATGTGTATACATTTTTTTGGCACCCTCTGTATATATTTATATGTAGATACATACTACAGCTTCTTTGTCCATTCATCCTTCTGTGGACACTTAGGTTATTTCCATGACTTGGCTATTGTAAATAATACCGCAGTGAACATGGGGGTGCGTGTACCTTTTTGAATTACTGTTTTTGTTTTCTTCAGATAAACACCCAGAAGTAGAATTGCTGGATCATATGGTAGTTCTAGTTTTAAGTTGTTGGTTTTTTGGGGTGGTTTTTTTTTTTGAGAATTTTTATAAGAGTTTATTTGAGCTAAACTAATGACTTGTGCATGGGAGCAAGATCTCAAATGCCCCAGAAAATAAGTTTTGAAGCTTCTTTTGTGCATTTGAAGTTAAGGAGGGAACAAAGGACGATGACGTGGAGGTGGGAGAGAGCCAGGCGGGGATCACCGGGTGGTTAATGAGATGGTGTGCTGCGTGAGGGTGGCTGCTGCTTATTTCAGAAGTGTGTTAACCGAGATACACAGACACTATGGACACGGTTTGCTTACGGCCAAGATAAACCTTCCACTAAAGAAGTTACAGGCCTGGGGCGTGACAACCTGCCCAGTCAGGGATTTATGATCAGGCCACCCTGTGAAGTCACTTTTCGTAGAATGCCTTTTTTCATCCACAGTTCCGCCTTTTGGTCATAACTCAGTCCGAAGGATGCATTGATGACCAACCTTTTGCTCAGACAGTGTGGTCTCACAGGGCTGGGAAGGCTCATCCTAGGAAAGTCAGTATCCACATTGTGTGACCGTTGGGTGGGGCAGTACCGTAGCCATGTGGTCTGAGTTGAGGCTGAATTTTCCCAAAACAGGAAGGGCAAGTAAATGGAAGGCAGTCAGGTCTTAACAGCCTTCGTTGGGAAAAAAAAAACCGATCATTTCTCTCCAGAAAACTAGCTCTCAGGATCCAGTTTGTGCCTGGGGTCTCATTTTTCTGTGTTCGGCATATAGTGTAACATTTACATATGCCACGGAAAGAGGTCTGACAGTTACCACACACGTGTTCAGTAATCATAAACTGATGGACTATATAGAAAAGTCCAAAGAACAAGTAAAACTATTATTATGACTGATAGCATTAGCAGACAGGTAAAGACAATCAAACAAAGTGGGTTCTGTGTTCAATATTCATCTGTAGGTACACAGGCCTTGTCGATGTCTTGGGGTAGCTGTCGACCTCTGGTGTTCTCATCCTCGAGGAGTCTTTGATGGCCTACAGGGGTAACTCCATTTGCTGCTAGGCACCTGATAAGTTCCTTTCCAAAGAGGTTGGAGAGTGTCTTTTATTTGATGTCCTTTCCAAAAAAACAATATCTAAAGTCTTTGTCTCCTGAGAGCTCCCTGTGAAAGGAAACAGTTACCAACTTGGCATTTTCTTGAAGTACTTCATCAAACCTTGGCAATAGTGTAAAACGTCTCCTTTCAGTTAATGTCAGCTCATCAGTCCCTTAATCTAATCTAAGTCCAGCTGAAATGCACTGTGATGCCTGAGGGAATGAAAACTGAGAAATGAACCAGCCAGCAGGGAGGACCAAGTGGCTGTCGGGACTTTTGCGGAGCCTAGCTGTTGGTTTGCTTTACGACTCGCGTTACCCATGCAATGTGCTCTAGAGGTTTTCCTCACTTGTTATACTTGACAAAGCTTCCCGTGCAATTACGAATCTTTTGAGGTGTTCCAGGAGTCTTCTAAAACACTGCAAAGTTATTCCTACATATATTGAGATTTTTAACCATAAAACCTCAATGTCTAATGAAAACTGAGAAGTAATCAGTTAGCTTTCTTTAGCTTGGACATTTTATAACCTCTAGAAAAATTTTCATAGACATCAAAGTCAGTTATTAATATGTACTTACTTTTGTAAAACCCAGGCAATA